AACAGACCAGTGGTCTGACTCAATATAAGAAAGCTTCTGTGTTCTCCTCAAATATAATAGGCTACACACTGGACTCATCTGACACATCTGGAGGGCACTAGATTGACAGACCGTTGTTCAAAACAGTATTTTGCTGTCTTCGCATGTATCTAATTCTAACCGCTGAACAGAGAGAACAAGAAAGGAATTTTCCTTCCTCTGTTCTTTTTCCTCAAATGCTTTTAAAAACAAAAGAATATTCCAAAGTGAATGAAGGAGCGGAAAGCATCTGACCCAATTAATGAGATCTGATCCTGTTTTTGATTTAGAAACTAGGATGATTTCAGCATAATTCCGTAACGATGGTGTGAATAATCTCAGTAGGATGAGGTTGTGGTTTCCTGATTCAATAGCTTAAACCAGGGGTGTCCAACCTTTCACCTTCCCTGGGCCTCATTAGAAGATGAAAATTTGGTTTGGGCCGCACATAAATTTGGTTTGGGCTGCATGGGAGGGCAGCCCTAGCCGTCTTCCGCAGCCCCGCTCCAAGCACGCTTACCGGCAGCTGCGATCTCAGACAACAGAGGCTGCCAGCTTCGACTCCGGTGGTTTTATGGGGCCAGGAGGGAGTCCACCAATTGATGGGGACGGCGCAATGCAGTCACACAGCCCCCCTCTCTCCTCCCCTCCCGCTCCTTCCTTCCTTCCCTCTCTCCTCCCCCCATCGTTGTGACGTGCTCCAGCTGCATTCCGGCCACAAGTGCCGACAGTGTAACTTGAAATTGGGCCGCATTATGAGCCGACCTGGGCCCCATGCGGCCCTCGGGCCGCATTTCCTGCAAGCCTGGCTTAAACTGTGACTTCTTTCCTATCAAGATCATATTCTTTGTGCGTATTGTTATTGTATACATTTACACACTAAATTGTTCTATAGTCTGAGACCTTGGGAAAGTTTCCGACTGATTATTTTTTAAAAAAACTTTCATTTCTTACTTTTATTGTTCAGATAGCGTTTTATGTTTAAAATTCAGGAGCACAAGTTAATATTTCAAGATCATGAGCAGCAAGACCTCTTAAGATCTTGAGAATTCTAATTTATTAATTAACCATGACACTACATTTTTAAAAATTACATATCATGTGGAAACTAATTGAATAACCTTATGTGTCAAATTTTAAACACTTGCATATTTTCTTAATATGTTATTGTACTAAAGATGTGTCTCACATACCTATTTAAGAAACTTATTGCTGCTAAGTATTTTTCCTAGTAAAATATCATGGTCACAAGATGGGAATAATCATTCTTTGAGTAATTTATTCCACCATACATTTACACACTAAATTGTTCTATAGTCTGAGACCTTGGGAAAGTTACTGACTGATTATATATTTTTTTAAACTGTTCATTTCTTACTTTTATTGTTCAGCAAATCTGATAGCGTTTTATGTTTAAAATTCAGGAGCACAAGTTAATATTTCAAGATCATGAGCAGCAAGACCTCTTAAGATCTTGAGAATTCTAATTTATTAATTAACCATGACACTACATTTTTAAAAATTACATATCATGTGGAAACTAATTGAATAACCTTATGTGTCAAATTTTAAACACTTGCATATTTTCTTAATATTTTATTGTACTAAAGATGTGTCTCACATACCTATTTAAGAAACTTATTGCTGCTAAGTATTTTTCCTAGTAAAATATCATGGTCACAAGTTGGGAATAATCATTCTTTGAGTAATTTATTCCACCAACATTCATTTTTAACTGTTCACATTGCTAAGAAGCTTGACAAGGAGAGCACGAGGTCATTCAACACGGCACAATTTGTTTTGAAAGATGTCTGAGCTTCCGGAAAATATTTCTTTAGGGAGGAAGAAATGGGTTTGACTTGCCAGATGTTGTAATTCCAAGAGGAGCGTCTGTGGGCAGGAGTGCATGGTAAGTCACAAGCCGCACCTTTTGGCAGCAAAGGAGATGGGTCTTACATAACAGCTTGCAAAGGTTATGTTTGTGGAAGAATACAGCCAAGTCTCACAAGCTATTTTAAAGGCCAGGATATTGCGGGGGGTTTTGACCTTGTATAGGCAAAACTGGTGTCCCCCCCCCCTTTGATGCTTCCATATGGCTTCATCTTGTGTATTATGTCTAGTTCCAGATGCCACACTTTAAGAAGGATACCAACAGATTGGAGCAAGATCAGAGGAGTGTAACAAGGATGTTCAGGGGATTGGAAACCAAGTCCTCTGAGGAAAGACTGAAAGAATTGGACATGTTTAGCCTTGAGAAGACTGAGGGAAAAATAGTACTTTTCAAATACTTAAAAGGTAGTAATACAGAGGAGGGGCAGGATCTGGTCTTGATCATCCTAGAGTATAGGACAAGTAATAATGGGCTTACCCTGAAGGCATTCAAGAGAAAATTAGACAACTATATGTCAGATACATTCTGAAAAGGATATCTGTATTGAGCAGGGATGTGAACTTGATGGCTTTATAGGCCCCTCCCAGTTCTATGATTCTATGGATGATTCCTAAGTCTGCTAGTCAAAAAGCAATGTGTAGGAATTCTGTCTTTCCTTCCAAAACATTATTCTCTGTATACATGTTTTAAGGAAAAACAAAAAAGTGGGAAAATACAGGAAGATTACAAGTGGAAAGACAGCATAGTCTAGTTGTTGTTTAGTCATTAAGCCATGTCCGACTCTTCGTGATCCCATGGACCAGAGCATGAGTGTGAAGGCAAGAGGAGAGGGGGATGACAGAGGATGAGATGGTTGGACAGTATCATTGAAACTACCATCATGAATTTGATGAAACTCCGGGCGGCAGTGGAAGACAGGAAGGCCTGGCGTGCTTTGGTCCATGGGGTCACGAAGTGTCAGACACGACTTAATGACTAAACAACAACATGATTTTTCAGGATGCTCGTAATATAAGCCCTACCCCCAAAATAAGCCCCAGTTAAGTGAAACCCCGCCCTCCATCATTATGCAGCAACCAGAAGATGACATCACTGTATTTGAATAAATGTAGATTGTTGTACATGAAAAAATAAACATGCATTTTGGGAGCAAAAATTAATATAAGACCTTGTCTTATTTACAGGGAAACAGGGTATATGGTTCCATCTCCTTCCCACCCTCTCCTCATGAAACCCTCTGAGGCCAGGTTGACAGAAACTCAGCATCCCAATATCATTTGGTGAGTTTAATGACTTAATGAAGACTTGAAACTATATCTCCCAAATGCCACTGAACACTTTAACCATTGGCTGAAATCAAGCAGTAAATTGCAAGTAGAGTAAGTCCATTGAATCAATGTGGGTTAGATAAGTCATTCCTTCCATAGGTTCCATTGATTAAATGGGCCTACTCTAGTTGCAGCTTACTAGTGGATTTCAGCCTGCATCTTACCTATGTATAATAGGGAGAACGACTTGCATAATGAGAGGTTTGTGTGCAATTTACTCTTCTAAAACACACCTTCTGCTTTTTTCAGAACCAAACAAAATAAAGAATTTCTGTTGCTATTAAGTACATTTTAGCACATGGTGAAAATGACAGGTCTTACATTGCCATCTGCTTCAATATCTTCATGCAGGATATTTCCCTTTTGTTGAAAGTGTCAGTTTTGCAATTTTATTTTTGGGACAACTGCTCTGTTCTTGCTATTAGTAGAGAAATTAGCATTTGGGTTCATCTCTGCAGCCTAATAAGATGTCAGCTGGAGCATGAAGCTCCAAGCTCAGCTACTTTTCTGCTGATTTAAAGAGGTAAAATTGGTTCCATTTACTAGTAGCAGTTCTCCTTCTAAGAACTCACTGCCATGAAAGGACCTTTTTAAGAATCTAGCAGAAGATTCTATAGGATGGAAATACTAAATTTTGATGTGAGCTATAGAGCAGCAAGGAAGTCAGTGAAGTGAAAAAGCTGAGGATGTATTCCACTGAAAGCTCTTTTTAGCAGCAGATTTGCTATGCAGAAAGTGCAAGGGATTGGAAAATGAGAAATGGTGTCAAATATTCCCATAGCCTTTTTCAGAGGCACATGAAGAGTCAGTTTTCTAAAGTTTTGACTGTGTTGAGAGCTCCTGTGGTTCAAAATTATGTCTTCACAAAGTAGCTTTTCTAGCTGCTTTGGGATGAACGGATCCTAAACTACAATAGGGAAAAACGATAATGCACATGCATGCACACACACATACATGCACACATTCAAAGATGTTTTAGGTGTACACATTCAAATAGCTAATGGAGACTTTATAGTTTGTTATACAGTGTAGTCAATTGCATAGTCAATGAAGCAGATGTTTTTCTGAAACTCTCTGTTTTTCTCCATAATCCAGCGCATGTTAGCAGGAAGATGCATCAGTCCAAACATGTTACGATTTTGTGGTCATGTCTGAGGCTTTGGATCTCCTTGTGGAACAAGCTTCGGCTGCTTGGCTCTATGACTGCGATTCTCCCACCAATAGGCAAGGGTGTTTTTATTCACATAGGCCTTGGACATATACGTAGTTATTGCCAAATGGGCTTTAATTTGTTGGGTGCTGTTGTTACTTTTTATACATATGTTTTGGTTTAATTTTAGGATCCTTCGTTAGTTGTCCTGAGTGCTATTTTCAGCAAAAATGGCACTGCATGAATCAAATTTCCATTTTATGCATAATGCTGAATGGAGCTTAAGGGTACTGTTGCACTATGCCTGAGCTTAATACTAATAGAAGTTTTATAGTATTTCTCTGATTGAATATATGACTTCTAACAATATCCATTTTATGGCTTCTAAGTTACAGCAACTGAACATTACATGTAAGAAATGATTAAACCATTTCACAATTATTTTATTTTTATAAGCACCTACAAAACATGAAATACTGCTTTTTTAAAAAACACAAATATTAAGTGGAAAAACTTCCTAAGTGCTTATCAATATATGAGAATGTACAGAGATATCCTTGTTCACATCATTATGGATCATATCTGATTTTAGTTCCATTTAATGTAGACTTACTGAAATCAGTGGAATGTATTTTATTTATGACAGACAGGTTTCATTTGTTTTCTGGATCTGCTATAAGACTAAAACTAGATTTAGCCTTATGATTCCATATTTATACAAAGAGACTATACAGTACTGCACAAGAGTAAGAGTTCAGGAATGTTTCTCTTTTTTCATCTCGTTGGCGCTGATCAAAGTTTGACAGGTCTCTTGATCCCTCTTCCTTAGCACCTATTAAGGACATTCTAAGGCTGATTATATCCAAGATGAACATCAGATACGTTTCAGGTTTTTTTTTCATATGAGCTCTCCCACTGTAAGCAGTAATACTTCTATAATATAAATTTATTCAGTAGCAAAATCTGGCTTTCATGTGAAATATAAATGTAAAATATAAAAATCCACAGTACATGGCTCCCAATCATTTGGAATGACAGACTGAACTTGCTGACATGTAGCTAATATCTAATGACCAAGCAAATGTTTGGATACAAAATTTAAGCTTTTCTTTACATTCTGTAAAATGTACAGAAATAGCGTGCAGTGTTTTCAGCTGGCCATGCTTCACTATTGTTCTTTGAAGGGTTCCCACCAAACTGGCTGATGGAAAAAACTAAAGTGCAACCTTACTTTTACTTCAGCCTGAATTATCCAGTCTATAGATGGCTAGGGGGGGAGCAGAAGATCTCCATATTTATTAAACCTTTGCATTTCTTTTCTGATGGCTTCATGGGGAGTATAAAGGGCAAGCAGAATCAGGTCTATTTAACAGTCACACCTCTAACACCCCCATCTCCACATTTTAACAATTGGCCAGCATGATTACATTTAACCAATAAGCTAATGGACCCTTACAATGGTCTAAATAATCAAATTAAACACATATGGCATTTTGATTTGTAAATATTTTGCTTAATCTAGAGAAGTGCATAAAATTAGCCATATGACCATGCTGTCAAAAGGACAGTATTGCACTGCACATATCATAGTCCAATAAGAGGATCCAAGAACAGTGACTTGAGCACAAGAACCATGTTTGTTTAAAAATGGCGGAAGACTACATCCATGACCACTCTATGTCAGTTGGATCAATTATCTGTTCTGCTGAACTCCAGTCCTGGAGGAATCAACAACAAAGGAATTTAATGAGTTAAGAAAGTTATTTATTTTAAGTTTAGATTAATATATATTTTTAATTGCAAGCCACCACAAATATAATTCATCCAAAATTAGACACATATTTAACTTTGTGATAGAAGCAGTGAGATTTAACAGTACTTTTATGGGAACACATATTTCCTTTTTTTAAAAAATCACTGTAACTTCTATTAACATAATGAAGTGACATGGATTTTTTATTGATAGGAAAAATCAGTAGTGGTTTCAAAGTAGATATTTTAGTTCTGGATATGAAGAAAACATTTCTTCTGCAATGTAATTCATCCCCAAATAATTGTTTCGGGTTTTTTTTGTTTTGTCTCTGGTGAGTGCTCAGATTTGAGCAGAATTCTGTTTAAGAACCCTAAAAAATGAGGGTTTTAAAATAGAAATGTTTCTGGCCAGATAAACATTGATAAATGCCCAAAAGGAGCCAGATGCATTAATTAATGTCATTTACAAAAAGAAGCATCATTTGCCATGTCACAAGTCCAGAATGGCACTAATAACCTAACAGTACATATCTGCATCACCTCAGGTACATCACCTCAGTTTAATAATCCAGTAAATTACAAAAAAGACAAACAGGGAGAACAACATCATGTAGCATAAGAGTTTTGTCTGGCTTCCTCTGGAGAGAATTTTCAGTCTACCCATTGTTGCACCAAGAAATCCACTTGTTGAATCAAAGTCATTGTCCTGTAATTAAAACAAAACAAAACAATAGAATGAGGCCACTGTGTCTGAGATACACATACTGTAATTGCAACTTTCAACAAAAATACAATTTGCGCGAAATGTTTTCTTTCCAAGTCTGCACATCCAGAAACCGTGCAAAAGTTAAATGTTTCCAAATCATTTGTTTTGTGAGGAAGAAGGATCTGTGGGTAGAAATCTCGCTTCTCCTCCAAGACAACAAAGCAGTGGAATGTGTTCCTTTTTAGAAGACTTATACATTATCTCTCTGAACTGAGAAAACGAGGTGTACTGCCAATACAGCTCCTCATAAAGCTGAGGGGTTCAGGTATGAAAACGAGATTGTGAATAAGGTCCTTGTTTTCCTTCACTTTTAAAGAAGAAAGCTGTGACCAGCCATAGCACATAATTTAAACTCTTGACATTGAAATTTATTTCATTATTTATTTATTAGACTTTGACCCCGCCCATCTAGACCAAAGGTCTTCTCTGGGCAGCAGAGTCTTCTATAGATAAATTTTACATTAATTAAGTGAACATCTTAAAATTCGGTGCTTACTAAAGATTTTTTTGAATTGTACAGAAGCAAAAGCATATCTGCTCCTAGAATGAAAACATTACTGGTTGAAAATCGAAACACTATGCCATATTTAACCAAAAAGCAAAATTGAATTCACAAGCTGATAGTCAAACAAATTTTAAGCTCATCTACAACAACTGACTATTATGATTGGAATACATACCATTTCAGATAGTATTTTATTTTGCTGTTTAACCTCTGCTCCAATTTCAATGGAAAGCTATGAGGAAAGAGACAGAAGACAGGTGGATTGCTATTAGTACTACAGCAGGATTGAACCACACAAAAATTAAGTGTGCTTGGGAAATATCAAGATGCTTTCTAGAAAAACTTCAAGGATCCAAGACAGAGGAAAGGAATGCAGAAAATATACCATAAAGGGATATTCAATTTTAGTCTATGTTTCTTTGGTTTTGAAACATAAAATTTCTCAGAGACCATGGCTGTGACTAATAACAATTATTTAGAGACAACCTAGAGGAATTGGTGTTGTTCTCAATTTAAGATCCTCCTGACTGAAGCACTGGCCATACCAGAATGAACTAGTTAGTTATTTATTTGTCTCCCATCCTTAATTCATAAAAGTCAAATTTGGCTCAGCAAATATTCTGCAACACACATGATCTCTAAAGACACACTGGATTTCAAACTGCGTAGGGCATCCCAACCCAACCAAGCACTCGCCAGATGTTCTGATCGCAGTTCCCACCAATCCCACTATCATGGCCAATGACCAACCATGATGGAAACTGTCATCCAAACATCTGAAGGATAATAGATCGGAGTCTGGTTTAAGGTTGATGGAGGGGGGTTAGTGCTAGACAAGATTGTTCAGCAGCTTTTGGCAGAGACCACTAATCAAAAACAACTTGATTTCACTCACACAGGAGAGTTTAGCTTTATGATTTACTGGCAGGTCTGTTAGCGGTCCCTGTTGACATATAACTTCCAAGGAAACACAGCTGTTAATCATGGTGAGCCAAATAATGAGGACTTCTACTGACTTCCTGACTGGTAACTTATATCTTGATAAGCCCAGAGAAAGCTGGAGCTCAAGTGCACTTTGCAAAAGACTGTGATAAGTACACTATGCCTTCTGATGGGCAATATTTTGTCTGAATCCAGTTAATCTATAGGTGCATTACTATTAGTTGGCTGGATAGCTCAGTGAGTTAGTTATTTGGTTGCGGAGACAGGGGTGGAAAGTTTGGTTCCCCACTGTGGTTCCTGGGAGTCCAGCCAGTCTGTGTGGTCTTGGGCAAACAGCACAGTCCCAGGGCACCCCCAGAAGCAGGGAATGGTAAACCACTACTGTGTATTTCTTTACCTTGAAAATCCTGAAAACGGTCAGAACTGCTTTGACAGCACACAATTATTATCCTGCTAATACATCGATCAAGCAAGCTGTTCCAGTTTACTTCACTTAACAGTAATGCTCTTGTTATAATGATATACTTACTGATTTTATGGCAGTAACTTTTGAACGCAAACTTTCGGTTAGCTTTTCATTTTCTTCCTCGTATACACTGTACCCACTATTGGTGTAGCCATAATTGCTGCCAGTGGCTCCTTCACCTGAAAAGGCAATCAAATTAATATACCAGAAATAGAGACTAAAAATAGGACTAGTAGAAGAAAAATGCTGTTGACCTTCATTACCCCACCAGTCAATTTAAAAGATTTAGGCATGCAATCGCATTACACCATAAGAAAACTGAGATCTCTTGCAAATCTAAAACAAACAGAAGAAAAACCAAAGAAAGGGAAGTGATACCTGGATATGGCTGAAAGTAATTTTATTCCTGGTCTTGCAGTAGAAAACCTTATTCTACATATTATGTTCCTTCTAGTGTTAGTTTTCTTTTCCTTTCTTTTCTAGTATCCTGCATTTTTCTCTTTTGGTATACCTTGACAGTGAGATGATGAGGATGAGGATGCATCATCTCATTTATCCTTTCTCTGCTTAATACCGACCCATCTCTAGAGGCTCATATTTGTCCAAATCTCCAAGGATATTCAAATGCTACCCAATGTTAAAAAGACAGACCCTATAACCACTACATAGCCAAAGTCTACAAACAATTATATATGTATTGGCAGCGCAAATTTAAGCACATGCAGAAACCATGCCACATCACATCATGGCAGAAATCAGGGCCATTGAAAGCCAAAATACAGATGTTGTACTGAAAGCAGAGATGGCAATGTATGACCTTCTAATGTTGTTGAACTGCATCATCCTTTGCCATTGTCCAAGGTTGGCAGGAATCACACTTCAACAATATCTGGAGAACCAGATGTTCTCCACCTTATCTTGATGTCTTAGTTAAGAACTAGCTACTTTCAAGCAATAAGACACAGCATAATGGTTTATGCGTGGACATAAGACATAAATCACTGCTCTCAAATCAACCAGGAAAGTCCTTTTCATCAAAACTACAGTAAAAGATGGCATCACCAAACAGCAAGTTGACTAATAATATACAGATTTAAAAGAAAAGACGGTTTGAATCAATTTTACAGTTTAATTGTAATGAAGGCTTTAATTTCTATTTCAGCTCCAAGGGCAAACAACAAAGATTCTCTTGTCCTGGCAGACACCAGCACTGAAAATGAGTGACTGTCCAAAGATAAACCAGTAAATTTCATGGCTCACTGTGCACTAATATTTTAATTTTCCAGATTCCAGTCTGATAGTCTATAACCACTATACTTCTTCTAGATAGTAACTGAATTACTACTCTGTTTCCCCAAAAATAAGACAGGGTTTTATATTAATTTTTGCTCCAAAAACGCATTAGGGCTTATTTTCAGGAGATGTTTTATTTTACAGCCATGTCATCTTCCAGTTGCTGCAAAATGGTGGAGGGTGGGTTTTCATTTAACTAGGGCTTATTTTCAGGTAAGGTCTTTTTTTCGGGGAAACAGGGTAAGACTAGATTTAATACAGTGCACCCCAGATCTTTGATAGACAATGAGGTATAACAAAGGTACACAGCTTTTCTTAATTTATCACCACTTCATTCAGTTTGCTAACAAGATTGGATCTCATCATGCCACTGCCTCTGAAATCCTATGCAGTTCCAAAAAAATAGCTTGTGTTGGTCTCAAGGAATGGGTGCAGTATTACCTGCAGGGTGGTGAAAAAAAAACAATTATTTTTTAAAAATTGTTTTAAATCACTATTTAAATTTTAAAAATCAATGTTTCAATTTAAATTATCTAAAAAACCTGACTTTTTGATTTAAATCGGTATTTAAATTAATTGGAATCAAATCAAATCTACCCTGGCGCTTTGGCTACATTTTGAACTTAGACAGCAAGCACAACACACACTTAATATTCTTTAAAGTGCTATGCAGACCACATCTTTTCTTTACACTTTATTAAGGCACAATCCTTAAAAAATTCCTCAGCACCTCTGTGATGTCCACATCAGTTAAAACAAAACTACATTTCATGAAACAAGAATATGTTTCTTGATGGCAGATTTGAAGTGTTGTGTATGTGTGCAAAGAAATGGGAGTTCAGTGAGGACTACTTCAGATCAGTGAGATAAGAGTGCAATCTTATTCCTCTTGAAATCAATGAGATAACAGTCTGACCCTAATGAAACTAAAATCGGGCCAAGAATCTAGTTCCATTTCAGTGTTCATAAATGTCAAGCCTACAGTTACAGATTTTTAATTGTAGCAACATTAGTGTGTTTCAATGTGTACAACCAAATGAAAATAAAATAAAAGTTGCTACAAATCTTTATTTTGTTGCTGGTGGTATAAAATTATAAACTAGGAATGCAAAAATTAATTATAAATGCTTTTCACTTTGCTAACTTTCAGGAGAAGTCAAGGAAAGACAACCTGTTTTCGTGAAAAACAAATGGTTTGGAAAGCTGTTTGACTTTCCTGATAAGGCAGGTGGATTGGGGAGGAAGCACATCTATCTACTCATATGGGGTCAGGAATATTTTCGCTGGAAATGTTTGTACATCTAAGGAGTTAGAAAAACAGAAATGTCAGCTATGTTCATTATGCAATTTATATAGATTGGCTCACTCAGTTTCTTCAGCAGCTGCGTGCCAAGCATCTGCTTTATAAAGTCAAAAGTTCAGAAGTTTTGTATCATACAGTGAGAGATGTTTTACACAGGGCCAGATGTTATGACCTTTGGGACTGACAATACGTGCAAGCCGGTCAGTTTTTCCCAAGAGCACCATTTGTCCCTTTCAGAGAATAACTCAAACTAGTGTCTTTATCAAGGTTGTTTCCAGGACAATACCAGCAATTGTGTCAATGTTCATAAATTCACTCACCTTATCATCAGCAGGAAGTGTACCTGCTCTACAACCATAGCACAGGGAAGCACTGTCCTGATTTCTCAGATAATGGCAAACATGAAAATGGGTAAGGTATTCCTGCCTCCCTGAGTTCTCTGCAGTTCATGAGAACGCACGTGTTAACTGGAGAACAGAGTTTCCCCCCTTTCTACTAGGATTTTGCAGGAGGTGGCCATGTCCTGGTAGCTTTTTGAGAAGACAACAACAATGTGTGCTATATTTTAGAGTCCCTTTTTCATTCTACAGAGACCAAGCATTTATAGAACACCCTGGCTTTTCCTTAGTTCGCTGACTACATTAGACAAGTTCTTCACACATCACATAATCATAATCATCTTAGATGGAAGGGACCCTATGGGTCATCAAGTCCAGTCCTTCTCAAGGAGGCACTGTGGGAAATCAAACAGCCAACTCTGGCTCTGCAGCCAGAGACTTAAACCACTAAGCTATCCAGCAGTTATACTACCATTGTAGTTATAAGAGGTATTTTTGTCTTATCCACAAACAAAACAAAACATAATTCAGTAGATGGCTGCTAAAAATGTAGATTACTGCTAGATATAACAGATTGGAAAATGGAAGCTTAAAGATACAAACATATTCACAAATACCTCAAAAATAATTTATCTGACCCCTGTGGGGCTTCATTAACCTGGTAAGACAACACAGCATGTGGAGAATACTTGTAGACGACACTGCTGTTTCAATAACACTTATTGCAGCAAGATCTCCTGTGTTGCAAGCACATGCACCCTTAAATGGCCTTCCAAGACTGTTTTCTGGTTATTTCCATATAGCTTCTTTATTTCTACATCAAACCATTGGACCATAGAATTACAGAGCTGGAAGGACCCCAAGGTAATCAAGTGCAACCCCTTGGCAGGCATGAAATCCAAACTTCAAACATATCTAATAGATGGCCAATGAATTTTTGCTTGGAAACATCCAATGAAGGAGTCTATCAAGTCCAAAGGTAGTCCAGTCTACTATTGAATGGCTCTTACTGCCAGCATGTTCTGCTTAATGTTTAGTCAAAATCTCATTTCTTGCAATTTCAATTCACCCAGGTCAGGTTCTACCCTCTACACAGTTCTTCAAATATTCATCTCTTAAACATCTGTTCTTCAGGTCTAACATAACCAATTCCCCAGTTATTTTTCACAGAGCTGTATCAGCCTTCATCACAAATCCATACTGGTGGGCTGGAAATCATGAAGCTCATAAATTTTGACAGCCCTTTTGCCCCCTGGCCTTTTTCTCAGAAAGTAAAGACAGTTTCTCATCCTAGAATCCTCCAGAATTAGTGACACTCTTTTCAAACAAAGAACAGCATCTCATACTTGGTTCTGTTTTGGGGGCAGTGTGCAACCTGTGAGAACTCAGTTTGCCCACTGCTGTCTCCCTTGCCATTTGTTGTCTTATCTCATGTGTGTTTCTTTATTTACTGGTTTGAATGCTATACGTGATTGCTGTGAATTTGGCACCAACCAAATAGTTTTGGGAAGTCAAACGCAGGACAGGAGGGCAACAGTCCATCCATGCCATCATTCTCTAGCAGCTAGTACTAAAAGGCATGTTGACATCACGAACTAGCAGTCATCGATGGCCTTATCTTCCCTGAACGTGTCTAATCCTTTTCAAAGCAATCTAAACCGATGGCTGCCACGAGACAGAACAGTCACAATTCTTTATTCAACATGAAATACCAAATGGAGAAAACTAGCTAAAGAACAGGACAAAGAGAGACAGTGTGTGTTCTGTAGGACATCCAGGTGGAATTAACGTGAAAGTTAATACATGCATACAGTGCAAATAAGTGTAACAACAGAAATCTGTGTATATAAAAAACAATGAGCTATGTTTCCCGGATACTCTGGATCTCCACTTAAACTTCAGATGAAAGAGATTAACCCCAATTCACAGGATTAAAGCAAGCCTTTCACTATTGATGTACTTGAATCTCACTGAATAATGAAAATAGGTATGAATTCTATCATCAAAGTGATATTTCAGCAAGAAAAACACATCAAAAACAACAAGTGTGGGGGAGAGGCAGCACTAAAGACAATGAGTCAAGTTCAGCAAGAACATCTTAAGCAAGAACCCCATTCTAAAGCAGCCATTATCTTAAAACGTTTTTGATTGGCTGAAAGGTTCCAGTGCATTTCAAGCCAATTAATTACTCTGTAGCCTTCTTCAAGGACTATTTATTGGCTGAAATGCACTAGGTGCTTTTGGTGAATAAAATCCATTTTTCTACATTTTAAGTCTTGTGTCTCTCCCTTGGATTGAGTTTCATCAAAGGTTTCCAGTTTGTATGCAAGAACATCAGACAATTCTACCTACACTGGAAATACTTGCACAGCTGTTTGATCAAACGGCTTAACTCTTGAGAACTACAGCTAGCAAGCTACAACATGTTTGTAATGATACAAAACAAAACAGATGCAAAAATATTGCAGCCCCTTTGAAACAAACATGCTTATTTCCATGTGAGATTTCATGAAGTGCAGTATATCTGAAGAACCCATGAACGCTCACACTGAAACAAATGCATTAATTTCTAGGTACCCAAAGCCTTTTGTTGTTAATGAAACAGACTAATACACCTACCTCTCTGAAACAATTTTTGTAATAAAGGCTGCAATTCCATGCACACCTGTCTATGAGTAATGCCTACTGAGTGGATCTTGCTTCAAAGATGGAAACTGGGGCAGGATGTGCCCAACAAACTATCCGGAGTTGTTGTTGTTACAGCAGGTTGTACTATGTTCATATAACAAGGTGCATCTGGGCGAATGGGGGCATAATGGCGTCTCTGCAATGCCCCTTTCTCTCTTTTTTTAGTGGACAACAATATGTCTGCATTCAGAGTGAGTCTTCCATCCAACTCCCCAGGGCCTTCCTTTGTGGGTCTTGGCTCAGACTGCTTGATAGCTCAGTTTATCTGAGGTTGTGAGTTCCATTCACCATTGTGCCTCTTGGACAGGGGCTGGACTGGATGACCCCTAAGGTCCCCATCCACATCTGCAGTTCTAGGATGACTATTCATTTACAGTTTTGTCATGCCCTAAGACAGGACAGGCTTCAGCAGTACGTGGACCGAGAACTCCCAGAAGTACAAGCTGGATTTCGAAGGGGCAGAGAAACTAGAGACCAAATTGCTAACATGTGCTGGATCATGGAAAAAGCCAAAGAGTTCCAGAAAAACATCTACATCTGCTTCATTGACTATGCAGAAGCCTTTGACTGTGCGGACCACAGCAAACTACGGCAAGTTCTTAAAGAAATGGGAGTACCTCACCACCTTATCTATCTCCTGAGAAGCCTATACCTGGGACAGGAAGCAACAATTAGAACCGGATACGGAACAACTGATTGGTTCAAAATTGGGAAAGGAGTATGACAAGGCTGTATATTGTCTCCTGGCTTATTTAACTTATATGCAGAATACATCATGCAAAAGGCCAGACTGGATGAATCCCAAGCCGCAATTAAGGTTGCCTGAAGAAATATCAGCAACCTCCGATATTTATTTATTTATTTATTTGATTTTTACCCCACCCCTCTAGACCATGTCTACTTGGTATGCAGGTGATACCACTATGATGGCAGAAAGTGAGGAGAAATTAAAGAGGGTGAAAGAAGAGAGCGCAAAAATGGTCTGAAGCTCAACATCAAAAAAACTAAGATCATGGCCACTGGTCCCAATACGTCCTGGCAAACAGAAGGGGAAGATATGGAGGCAGTGACAGATTTTACTTTCTTGGGCTTCATGATTACTGCAGATGGTGACAGCAGCCACGGAATTAAAAGACACCTGCTTCTTGGGAGGAAAGCAATGACAAACCTATACAACATCTTAAAAAGCAGAGAAATCTCCTTGCCAACAAAGTTCCACATAGTCAAAGCTCTGGTTTTTCCAGTAATGATGTATAGAAGTGAGAGCTGGACCATCAAGAAAGCTGACCGCCGAAGAATTGATGTTCTTGAATTGTGGTGCTGGGGGAGGCTCTTGAGAGTCTCCTGGACTGCAAGGAGATCAAACCTATCCATTCTGAAGGAAATCAACCCTGAGTGGTCACTGGAAGGGCAGATCCTGAAGCTGAGGCTCCAATACTTTGGCTATTTCATGAGAAGACTCCCTGGAAAAGACCCTGATATTGGGAAAGTGTGAAGGCAAGAGGAGAAGGGAACGATGGATGAGATGGCTGGTCAATGTCATCGAAGCTACCAACATGAGTTTGACCCAACTCTGGGAGGCAGTGGAAGACAGGAGGGCCTGGTGTGCTCTGGTCCATGGGGTCTCAAAGAATCGGACACAACTTAACGACTAAACAACAACAACAACAACGAGACGGGACAAACAGGGCAGGCGCCTAGCAACGGACAGAGGCCATAACAACAGCTTCTCCCTCTCCAAAGGCCCAGCTTCCCCATCCTACCTCGCACACACACGCCCCCCACTTACCCAGCCCGGCCCGCCTCATCCTTGCTCGCCGTGGGGCGGAGGGGGGGAAAGAGGGGTAGAGGGACGAAGCCTTGCCCCGGGGCACCCGAAGCCGGCGTTAACACGCCCAGCCGGACAAACAGGCGAGAAGAAAGTTGGGGGGGGGAGAATAGCTTTGCGAACTCTTCCGATCACCCCACAAAACGCCACGACAGCGCTTGGTCGCCGCAAACTGTTCCGGGTAATGTAGTTCTCGGCTTTAAGCTTCGCTGAGCCTTCTGGGTAACGTAGTCCGCCAAAGGAAAAGGATGGAGGAAGTAAGTAAGGAGCGATCGGACCGAAGGGCACCTGGGTAATGTAGTTCCAAAATCGCTCGGAGATGTCTCTGCTGGCGCTGGGATCCAGGGCTTCGGAGTTTTGCTAGAACGATGAGTTTAAGGCAATTTTGCAGAAATATGGCAGAGAGCTGGAGCACCGTCAGTTTAAAAGCGAAACTAAAACC